TGAGATTTTTTTTTGTAGAAGATTCTTTTATACCAAGAGCGAACGTTTCCTTCGCAGGTAGAGGTTCTAAAAATTTCTGAAAAAATTTTTCATTTCATAAAAACGATTGCAACATCTATTTCGAATCAATTGGAATAGTGTTTTTATAATTGAAAAAAATCTCTAGGTGATGTTTTTGTTGACCCAATTCAGACCATTTTGTCTTTGGCCTCCTTTTTTCCACTTCGCCCTCTGAATTTTGGCAAATCACGCCCAAACCACGCTCTCTTCTAAAAAATTTTCCCTTGTTCTTCCTTTTTATCTCTCGCTTATTTGGAAAATCACAAGCTTGAACCATCTACGATGATCATTCATCGCGCCAATAGCGAAATACTTCTTAATTTTCCCGGGAGAAACAAAATGGTTAAAAGGGGCGTGTCGTGAGCGGAGTAAGGCCACGCCCCTTTTTGAAGGGCTGAGTTAATTTTTTGAGATAGATTTTATTGGGAATTATAAAATAATTCTAATGTTAACTAACTTTCTTTAGATTCATGTTCCAAGAGTAACATCTTTTGCACTAAACTTCATGATCTCCATAAAAAGGTTAAATTTTGAAATTGACAGTTTCACATCTAGCGACGAAATCCGCATATTAAAGCAAATTCGTCGCGAGATAAGAGTAAATCATGAGTTACCGTAGCTGATGCCTGTTTACAGTATTTTAAACCGATACGTTTTGTTTTTGTAACATAATTTTTAATTTCTCTTTCAAAAAAATCGAACCCATTCTATGTTTCACTCTTTCAAGAAATACGCAATAGCGCTTCGACTGGGCTACGAATATCACCAGCAGTAGCATCAACGAAGGTTGAAGCTACTGTTGATACGCAAGCGGATTACAACGATGATGAAAAAGAACAACGACGGCAACGAAGGCTACGAAGAAGAAGTATCGAGAGCGGGATAAGAGTGAGAATGTTTTTTTCTAAACTTCTGCAATAAATTCCAAATCTGATAGTCCCATAAGTCAGATCCTTATTACTAAGATCCCATTGCCAAATGTTACCAACGACACGAATCAACCTGAGCCACCACTGTCACCACAACGTCATGGAATCGTCCAACGATCCGTTGTTCACGCTCCAGCGGAAACGGTATTGAAATTGCATAATAATGGAACGGAAGAAGAGTTTCGAATTCCGTTAGAAGACAATAACAAACCGATTCTTTTCTACAAGTTAGTGAATTTAAAGGACTACTATTCATAGGGTTTTTGAAAAATGTAGATTTTCTTTCAGGCGGAAACGATATCAATTTCTGAACTTCCCCAGAGCTTCGTCGAAATCGTAGTGCATT